CAGGCTTATCTGTGCCTAAGGGTATCATTTCTTTCACTAACCACTGAAAAAAATTACCTAATTGACTTGCCCAGAGAACCAATAAAGTAAACGGACAATTTTGTAATTGAATTAAAAAGAAAGGTTTTAATCTTATGTGAGAAGGCAATAAAATAGAGAAAAAAAAGGTTTGTATACACAACATGACGGTAACCAGCGACTGTTACAGCTATTGAAGCTAGCATAGTCACAATCATTGAAGCTAGCAACCATTGATAGCATCCCCCTTATATCTATTGCTTTATTAGCAAGAATTCTTACTGGCTTCCTCTTCAATACCCTTTTTACATGTTATGCTGACAGACAATTAAATACTCCTAACTAATAATTGATTTCCAAACTCATTCTCTTATTGATCTAGGTTTCAGACTTTCACTTGGTGCTCATTTGGTTTGCTGTTGATTGGACTTCATACTTGTTGCTCACTTAATGCAGAAGTTAATCTTCATCCAAATCCTCCTTTTTGCCGACATCCACATTTCTCCCAAAACCCTTTTTCAAAATCCAGACCTCAAACCTATACACAAAGAATAGGCTACAAAACAAATTTCCACAAATTCTTCTCAACCATCCACATAAAATCTCAACAAGATCGTCCTCTTTCACCCACCTTTCTACATGAAAGGTTCCATTTTTGTACTTTAAACAGGGATATACTCATTCAATCAATTTAATCAGCTTATGCTTATCAAAAGCAAGAATTCACCATTGTCAACTCTCTCAGTCCTCATAATTTACGATTTCAAGTCACAATAACCTGACCCTAATCTTCAACTACAAACCCTAATCTCTGCTCAGCTTCTCAAAAATTCCAATTTAAATTCAAAACAAACATATAAATACAAAATCCAGAACAACCCATTTAAAATTCAATCATCTCCATCCTCATAAAACCAAACACGACCTCAAAAACACAAAAACAAATCAAACCCATCAACCAAATCTAAATCAAAATCAGAAACTTAACTGAAACCATTATCGACAAGATAATTAAACGTGTGGCCATCGCAGTTGTAAGTAAACTTGTTGTTGGAAGCGGGGAGTTTCTGCAGGCACTGAAACGCAATGGAATTGAAGTTGCCGCTGAACTCAGTGTATTCTGCAAGAAGCACGGTGCCCCGAGAGACGAAGGCGTAGATCAGGGGCTTCTGACTCATTTTGGGGGCAAAATGAAAGAAATTAAGATCTGGGTTCTTTGTTTTGGGTTAAAAAATGATTCTCTCCCACTCTGATTTGAGTGCTAAAGGAGGAGAAAAGAAGAAAAAGGAAGTAAAGTTTGAGGTTTAATGAGGTTTAAAGAAGAAGAAGAAGAAGAGAGAGAGATTTAAGAAAGAGAAAGGTGGGCGTAATTGAGTGGAACTTAAGAAAAGGGAGAATTCACATACTTTGGAATACAATGTGGAGCACAAAAATACGAAGCATCGTGGGGGCTAATGGCTAATGATAGTGTATTTTATTTTGTAACATTTTTCTTTTTTTTTATGATTATGGATGTTTGAGTCACTTCAATATGGACCTCAATTAATCTTTCAAAATCTTGTAATTATTGATCAGATAAGAACTCCAATAACTATCCCTACTAACAATCAAGAAGAGAATCGAATTCAGAATCTCTTAAGTAATACATCTGAGAGTCCCTATCAAACTACGCGATCATCCAAAGATACTTTTTTTTATCAATGTTTTGATTTCGTAAAGTTTCACGATCAATATATTGATCTTTGCAACTTTTTCGGGTTAATATTTTGATCTCGTAACATTCTTGGATTGATATTTTGAACTCGTAACATCTCAACTCAATATTTTAATGTTGTAACATTTTTGAGTCAATATGTTGATTTTGTAACGTTTGTAGGTCGATATTTTGATTTTATTACATTTTTGGGTTGATATTTTGATTTCGTAATGTTTCTTGGTCAAGATTTTGATCTCGTAACATTTTTAGATCAATACTTTGATCATATAATATTTTCAGATGGATATTTTGATCTTATAACGTTTGTGGGTCAATATTTTGATTACAAGTAATTAAACAATATTGTGATGCCCTTGCCCTATGTTAGCTTAATAATAATGTTAGAATATGACGTGTCAACTAAAATAAGAATAACATATATACTTGATAATTCTCAAATGTAAATCTTATAACTTTTTTTAGATACACATTTTCGTTTGATTATTCTGGTAAACAATATAAATAGTGTTATTCAGTTTTTAATACGATAAAGATTTAACTTGATTTTTCTTATTCGCGGTCATCTAATGAGGTCTGCCTTTATAAATGTCTATACAAATTCATATAAATATATGAAACTAAATCTAAATGCCTACTTATTCCATATTATCTATCCACGTAAATCAAAATAAAATTAAATCTATTAAATATAGAAAACAAATTCATCAATAATTATTCATCCTAATCCACCAATCCACATAAAATAATAGTGAGAATGGTGGAGTTATTTTAGAGTAAATTTAGCAAAATGAGAAATGAGACCCACCCATCCAAGTAAAGGGCAAATTAAAATGGTTTTAACATAAAATCATCATTAATTTGGGAGCATTTTTTTTAAGATTAATCGTTGTATATGTAAATTGATTCAAACACCTCAATTAACAAATAAATTTTTTTTTTTTTTTTTGAGAAAATATTTTCACATTACCTATTAACTATTAATTACAATAAATTGGGGTGTTTAAGAGTTTGGTAAAGTAAAAAGTGCAAAAAATAATGCAAAGAATGTGACAAATTTCTGGTCACAAAGAAATGGAGATTGGTGTGTGTCACTTTGCCCCACCCGTTACGTTATATATTCACACATTCACATGAACCAAAACCAACATTCATTAATTGCTTCTTATTTCAATTTTTTTTTGTTTTAATTCATTTAAAGAAAAGAAAAAAACATCAAATGGATTGAAGATGAAGGATGAGATCCACTGTGGTACACGTACGTCTTGTTTGAGCGGAAATTTGAGGTGTCAGATTTTCCATCAAAATCTGAACTTGGATATGATTTCTCGATATATATATATATATATATACATATATATATATATCAACTTCAAAAGATTCATCAATTGACAACTCTATGTTGACATGTAAAATTCACCTTTGTACGGAAGATTTTGTAGGGTTACGTATTTTAAGATTATTTCTTAATCTTAATTTTATTACAATTTTACTCATAATTATTAAAATTTATTTCTTAATCTTAATTTTATCACAGTTTCACTCATAATTATTAAAATTTTTAAACAATAATATTTTTATTTTGAAAACAGTTTACAAAAATATTCATAGACTATTTTATTTTTATATATATAATTTTTAGTACATAAATACACTTTAAACTTTAAAACAATTATCCAAGACTAGTGATAGGATTTTGCCACCATCGTTGGCGGTCAACTGCTGGCCACCATTACCAACTACTAGCATTCGACGTTGGAACAATACATGACCGACTGGATTCGATTGACCGTGCACCGATCTAGCAAAAAACGGCCAGATCCATGGTAGTTAACGACCACATACGTAGTCATCGACAACTATTCCGACCAGATCTACAACCAGATTGACATACAACCAACTAGATCGTTTTGGCCATGGCTGTTGACGACGGTGGCCGACGACTGGAAGCGGCTTGGGTGGCTAGGGTCTTTTTGTTAATTTTTAAATTTTTATTATGTGAGTATTTTAACTAAATTCTCAAATGTAGAGGGATTATAATTAATAATCTAAATAATAATATTAAAAAAGAAGGACAATTCAGTAATCTATATAACATACCCACCAATTTATTTCAATCTAACCAAATTGATTTAATATAACATTCATAATATAACATCCCTAAACCAAATACACCCTTAAGATTTATGTTTAGAAAGAAGAAATATATGTCATAGCTTAGGCTCCGTTCGGTTCACTTTTTGCATTTTTAGAAAAGTTTTTTGAAAAAAGTTAAAAAAAATTGAATTGAGCGGGTATTACGATGTAGGATTTGAAAATTAATAAAAATACCCCATATGCTTGTTTATTTACTAAACACCCCTATAATAAAACTTTGAAAGTTAACAAAAACACTCCCAACCTACCATTGAATAATCACAGCCGGCCACCACCACCAGAGGGTGGCCAGAGTTGCGTATCGGGCATGACCAGTTGGATCTTGCGATCGTACGCCGATATGGCCTTTGCCAGCCAGATCTGGCCACATTTGCTCGTCAACGATGGCAAAGATATGGCGTCGTTGATGGTCAACGACGACATATGTTGGCCGTCGTTGACGTTTGGTTACGGCTAAGATCTGACCGTCAATGGCCAGATCTTTGGCCTTAGATCTGGCCTTTTCCGGCCAGATCCAGGGATCTGGCCGGAAAAGGCTAGATCGATGCACCACCGGCAGATTCAACCGGTAGTGCGCCATTATATCAGATTCCGACCAACTTCTGGCAGTGGTGGCCAGAATCTGGTATAATGTAGGTTTAAGGGTATTTTTGCAATTTCAAAAAAAATATTTACGGGTATGGACTAAATTAACAAATTTAGGGAGTTTAAAAAAAGTTGAATAATATTGTGAGTTTTTGGGCATTTTACTGTTTAACTTTTTTAGGAATACTAATAATAGTATTTCCAAAAACCAACCAAACGGAGCCTTAGTTTTCTCCAGCAATTCACATCTCAATTTTTTGCTCAAATAGATTCTAAGGTTAATATTTTTTAAAATCTAAAATAAAATTCTTCTACAAGATGGTTGTATGTATGTCTATCCAACCTTGACATCCCACATCACAATGCTGACATGCTATGATTAAACACACTCACATACACTCATCATTTATTGAAAGTTGTTTAAAATAGAGTAATGACATGTATTACTTACTATTTTCGACAATTTTAACGCATATCCTCACAAAAAAATAAAAAAAATAAAAAATGAACGTAACTTGAAAAAACAAACTTAACCTGCATGTAAATTTTCACTAACACAAAAGATAAATGAATCTTTAGCTATAAAAATAATTCAATCAACTTCTAGTGTGATGCATACTATAAAGATTTCAACATATTAACGAAGACAGTAATTCAATCAAAATAATGAATCATTTTTTTCGTGCTCGATAAAGAGCTTTGTAATTTCCTTCTTTTTCTTTTTGCAGACAATGTATAGTTTGTATGTGTTTACTCGTTTGCTAAAGATCATTGGCATCGGCCAGATATCACAGAATACTTGCAAACTATTGTTTCTGCATAGGATTTCTGCAACCAACAATCATAATCTGAAAAAAAAATATATATATATATTATATAAATATGCGGATGCTTTAATCTTGGTTTTCAACTACAAGTTAAAGCGTTTAATATTGCTTACCTTGTATCGAGCATGAGAAGCAATTTTTCAGAATCATGCAAGTTGATCTCACTAATGCCTCAGGCTGACCAGCTCAATATCAAAAATTCAAGTCCCCAATGTGGAGCCTTCCCCATTGGCAAGACGGGTCGGATTGAAAATGGTAGTAAACAGCCTCTGCCTGTCAAAAAACTATAGCATAGTAGAAAATGAGAGTCAATATAGATAGTCTGCAAACATCAAGCCAAAAACAAATTCCAAGCGAAGTCAATAAGCAGTGCATAATTTAATGGCACATAAAGAATAAGCAAAAAAGAAGTAATATTGAAGTGTGAAGTTAAGAGAAGAAAATATATACATTAGGTGGCAGTGGTTCTTGTGATGTGTTCTGATATCCTTGCGATGGGGGAATGACGACTCGACAGATTCCACCTACTTTCATTGACCTTACAGCTGCTTCAATCCCAGGAATTACCTGCTCAAAGTTTTGATTTACATATAATATCATAAAATTTCTTATTTAATTATCTTATACAGTTTTCATGTCATTTTCTAAAAAATAAAGGTAAAGCAAGTCACAAAGAAAGTTACACTATTAACCTATATATTGAATACATTTGTGAATGAGCAGGCAATGAATCTCACACAAGAAGAGAAGAAAACAAGCGAAGGGCTTATATATCAGAGCTGATTTACGACCAATTGTCAAAATGGTTTTAGTTTGTGTGGAAAAGGTCCTAGTGTGAAGAAACCAACTCCAGGCTCTCCCATATAGGAGACATGCCAGTTCTTCCCTTTCACCCAAAATCTACTATCAGCATCAACTACACGCAATGAAAATAGATCACTTATCATTCAATGAGTCCTCTTCTCCCATTTCAGGGAACAAAAATCTGTATGATTTCACAAGAAGTCAAGTTTTCATTGAAGGAAGTTTTACTCACCCGTCCCCCAATATTTAACAAAAATATAGACTGACACTTTTGTTTAAAAGATAGGCAGCAACCTCTCTTCAATCGTAAAAATTTGAAAAATATCTCTTGAAAATTTATCAAATTAATCATAATACTATTCTGAAAGAAAATTCCTTGCCTATTTCTGTAACCAAGTCTACCAGTAGTTAAGCCTAACCTCAATGAAAGCAAAAGAAATTCACCTTTTCATTAAAACAAAAAAAAAAAAAAACCTTGCCAATAAAGACACTACAAAATTAGCAAATAAAAAATATATAAATGTATAAAATCATCCAAGTCTCATAAGGCTGAGCTAACTATAGACAAACATCATGGTCTCTAATGAATTTTCAAGGAGATTTACGACTAATGTCAAAAATCCACAGAAGTTTGGTCTATTTTTCAAACTAAAAGGTGAAATCAGTTTGATGAATTATGTCTCAAAGTAGCCATTCATCCATCAATACAAATACTCTCGCAGATAGACAACATGAATAAAACACAATGTGGGAGAGGCAAAGCACAATAACCACAATGGCAAGTATTCCAACAATCATGTTATGATATTTAGGCACACAAAATGATTTAGCAACCTACAACAATATTTCAATAACAATCACACTATGTTATGCTACTAGAACATTTTGCATTAGATAATCAATTTCCAGCAATGGTACCATAGCCATTTCCCAATAAAGGAATGTGAAAGAACTTACTTTGCCAGACCCAAGGGTGAAAACAAAAGGAATCGGTTCACCACTTCCATCTTTGTGATCATATGTTGAATCAAACCGCCACCCTTGTTTCGCTGCCAACCTTCCATAGTAATGTATTGCAACCTTTCCAATTACATTCAAAAACACCCAATTAAGCATCTAATCCTGTAACACTCATTCATACCTCGTTTGATTTCTAATCCGAAAATAATTTTCAAAACTAAAATAAAATTCAAAACTCTCAGCTGTATCCAACAATATGTTCCTAAAACAGTTATCGAAAATATTTCAATCAAATTTACTTTGAATCCCTACATTCAAAAACTAAAAATCATGCTTAAATTCAATATCAAATATGCAATAAAATAAATTAAATTAAATTAAACAGAAGTACAACACAAAGAGTAAATCACAAAAAAACAATTAGATATTCTAATTTTTTTATTTAAAAAATAAAGCAGAAATTGAAACACTACTAAGTTGAAAGATTTTACTAAAGATCGTAACTTGGTCACCATTAACGGGAACTGGGCCCGACCCAGTTCGGAGGTCGAGCGCCTTGACGCCGCCGGAGTTCGGGAGCTCGGAAAGCTCGACGGTGGCGGCGGATGCGGCGTTTGAAGAAGTAGGAGAGGAGAATGGTAAAGTTAAGGCACTCAAAGTGGTCGTGATGATGGGGAAAGATAGAACTGCTCTTCTTGATGTTGTTGTTGTTGATAAGAATGGAGATGAAGAAGAAGATGGCAACGTGGCAGTGATTTTAGAAGGAAGAAAATGGAGGGAGTGATGGTGAGAAGCATGGAGCGGTGGTACTGATGCGAAGCACTGGATCATCGTGTCATCTTGAAAAAGAAGAGAGTGTAAGCAAGCGAATAAAAAGATGAGGATCTTTTTTATTTAACCCCGAAGGGATAGCTACGTTTAAAATGCATTCACGGTTTTAAAAAGTATTAAAAACGCCCTTGTTTTTATCATCAAGTTGGCAACTTTAACGCCATAGGGACATTTTCGTCTTTACAACACCAAAAGTACAAATTTTTTTTTTTTCCCTTTTTCTTCTCCTCTCTATCTTCCAATATGAGTAAACATGATCAATATTAACAGAAAATCAAAGAGTAACAGTTAGGGGTGAAAGCAGCCCCAAGCTCACTCGGAATTGAATGCGAGTGAGCTTTGGAAAAACCAGTGTTCTGAAAACCGAACTGGAGCAACCGATCAAAGTGGCCACACTGTTTGGACCAGTGACTGACGCCCTCTCCAATCCGATTTAGATTATAGGGTTGTTTTAGTTGAACTTCAAACTTGTACGAACTAATTTTCAATTTTAGGGGTGTTTTTGCTAAAATTTAAACCTATAGGAACTAATGTAATTAGGGACGTTTTTGCTGGATTTCAAATCACCCTGATTCCGACCGATTTCGGAGCCAAACACCCTACCTAACACCAACATCGGCATCAACTTCATCTCCACATCAAAACCGCCATCATCCCGAGGTATGATTAGTCGTCAATCGTTGTCACCACCGCTATCTCCTTTGTGAAAATTGGCAACTTCCTCCTTGATTCGGCGCCAAACACCCCACATGACACCACCATCAACATTAACTTCATCTCCATATCAAAACCCCCATCACCCCAAACTCCGATTGGCTGTCGATCATTGTCTTCGTCGCCGTCTGATTTGCGATTTCTTGCCTAGATCACATGGGTGTATTTGATATATTTTAAACCTACAAAGACTTATGGAATTTTATAGGGGTATTTCTTTTAAATTTCAAACTTGCTGGACCGCCAAAAATCGACAAAAATCGGAACTGGTCCCATGACCAGGTCAAGGGGCAGTCTGGTTATCAGAACCTTGTGGAAAATGTCTAAGTTAATTGTTTACTATATGTTATTCAGCCCAATTTTATAAGAAAAATGTCTCAATCTCAATGAATGAGTTTAATTTTATGAGTTAGTCAAGAGACAGTTTGATATTAGAACCTTATGAAAAATGTTTTAAGTTAATGGTTTACTATATGTTATTCAGTCTAATTTTATAAGAAAAATGTCTCAATCTCGGTGAATAAGTTTAATTTTATGAGTCGGTCAAGGGGCGGTCCGATTATCAAAACCTTGTGAAAAATATCTAAGTTAATGGTTTACTATATGTTATTCACCCTAATTTTATAAGAAAAAATGTCTCAATCTCGGTGAATAAGTTTAATTTTATGAGTTAATCACTTTTTATCAAACATAAATATTTGTTGAATATTACAATCCATAAAAACATTATGGGACAAAGACTATGAAATTTTTATCCTCATACAAAACAGATTGCTTTATTGTTTCACAAATTCTCGTTCTTTTATGTTTCTAAATAGTTCATAAAACCAAGTAATTTTTCTTTGTTGCAAGATGAAAAAAGTCAATTTCATTATAAAATTTTATATTTCCAATTCTTCAGTTTTTAAAACACATAGATATTTGAAATGAAAAACTTTAACGGTAAAGAGATTAAGTATTTTTATAATTTTTTATTTTATCAACGAGATTGATAATTGTATAAGGAAGTTTTTCAGGGAGTGTGTGTGGATTTGTGCTGAGCTGGTGTGTTGAAGAAATGGATGAATAGGTAGAAAAGTAAGGGGAACAAGAAAGAAAACAAATACAGAAAAGTCACATAGAAAAAAAGAAAATTTTGTAGAAAATAGAAGTGAAATGAAAGAACAAGGGGACTAAGGGTAGTGGGGGAGGGGGGTAAAGAAAAATGTTGACTGGTAAAGTACAGGAAACATATTACATTTAAATTTTTGGAAGCCTTTGTGGGGATCGACCCCCGAAGGGGTAAGCACGCGTACCGTGAGCTAGACGTGGTGCTGTAATGGTAATCACTCCATCTACTATTCGTTTCTTTTATTTTCAAAAAATTTTTTATACTTTCAACTTTCTTCAAAAATGCAAGGACACACCCAAATCCCCACCGCCCTCCTCTCCTACCTTCTCGTCCATCCATCCGATCTTTCTTTTCCGCAACTTAGGACTTTGCCTGCGCTGTCCCTTTCACTTCGCCTTGTCGCCTTACGCCCCGTAACTCCTTGACACTTCGCTGCGCCTGTCTCCAACAATACAGTTTGTACCAATTGTTTTCGTTTGTTAAAGATTGTCTCAGTGTCTTACCAGAGTTTTCGCTTGCACGTTGCTAGCTTCTCTCCACCTCCCGACAACCCACTTTTCTGTTTGATTTAAGGTTTGCCTCTTTTTTCCCTTGCTTACAATCTGTTGCCTCTCCCGTTAGTAGGGTTTTATATAACTGCCCCCTGGCGGTAAAAGAACATTTCTTTTGCATGGTTTTGTTTTTTTATTTTTTTACAGCATCTATCCCCTGTCCACACGCTTCATCAAATACCGCCCTTTTTTCCGAATCAGATTTATCATAGTGTTGCCCGACTTTACAAAGTGGCTTCTTGCCACAACATTTTCTTGGATCATTTTTTCTTTTTGGCTCACTAAGACAATGATAAATAAGCTTTCGTACTACTTGTTTGGGTAGTTGCGTTGCCCACCGTTTTCCATTGCTCCATGTTTGCTTCGTTTTCGGATTTCTGCCTTGTAAAAATGAGGCTCTCCAATTCATAATAAATACATACTTACAAGTAGGACTCTTATTGATATATGAAGTCGGTACATCTATGGTAGATTTAACATAGATATGCGCTAACTCTATACCTAGGTACTTGATGTAGTGTTGTATTTGGGTCGGATGAAGGGGCGTCTATTATGTATAGGATACAGGATGAGATTTCGTGATGCCATAGCGAGAGATTAGACCAGCATCGAGTCGATTCAGTTGGCGGCTAATAGCTAACCTAGCGTTCTAAAACACTTTTCCTTGTAATCACTAATAACATGGCTGAGAATTAATCGAAGATGATCGTATGTACCTTACACTATGATGGTAAGGGAGCTAATAATAATACTAAAAATCACTGAATTCAATCTTGAATTCTTGGCTTCATATATAATAAGTCAAAATTGAATCATAATTAATATGGGAAGAACCAGTTTGTTTATAATACCCCCAAAAATTTTGAAAAATAAAATTATAATTGATAGTGAAAGGTTTTTCAAGAATTAATACTTAATTAATGTATGATTTAGCTAGATCAAATGACAAATATTACAATATTTATTTTACCCGGCCAAAGTTGTGGACTGATGAGCTACAATTTTTAATGGAAATAATATTAAGAAGATTAAATAATAATGAAATAATTGACCATGTCAAGTGAGAAAATGTTCAGATTCATTTATATTTTTTGTATAGTATATATAAAAAATTTAAAGGTTTTAATGCGTAAATTTGTTAAATTGGAACAAATTCAATAGGAAAACAAATATCGAATATGAAAAATTTTGTCTTTAGTGTATAATTTTTAAGTTTTTACATACAGACTTTAAAATTATTGATAATTTTACAAATTTGTTTATTAAAAAATAATAACGTTCGCACCTGATTAGCGGGTAGATATGTAATACTATAAATACAAATTGATAATATATTTATAATTAAGATATTATTTAAAAGTTAAGGTAATTATTACTTTTTTTTTTAAATATTATAAAAAAATATAAATTACATTTTGAATGGTTGAGATTCAATGTAACGAATTATACCATCACAAATTGTGTAACAAAAATATGGTTTCGAGAATTCCTCCGGTTGCTTATAAGATTGATATTATTACGAGTCATATCGATGAAAAAAACTAGCTAATTTTTCACATGGATAAATGAAAATCCAATTTAGTCCAAGAAGTTTTGTCCATCTAAGACTTTTAAGGCAAATTAATATTTTCAAATAATATATATTAAAGTCATAATAACTTCATTATTCAATCTTTAAATTTACTAAGTCAAAATGTACCAAACAAATCTCCATGCAATTCTCCGTACGAGCAGTTTGATTAGACTTAATATAATTAATTAAAAATCTATAAAGACAGTCAAATCATTGAAGCTAGCAGATTAAATGGATTATATATTAATGTTGCCTCTTGATATTATTATTGTATAAATTGATTGACGGGATAAGAGTGAGAGGAGAGGAAAAAATAATGGAGGTGGAGAAAATGGCGGATGGTTTGAAATTTGTAAGAATGAAGGCCAGAAGAGAAGTGGAGCTTCCAGGGTTTCGATTTCATCCGATGGACGAAGAACTAGTAGGGTTATCTTAAAGGAAAGTGGAAAAGAAAGCTTTTTTATTGATCACCATCAAAGAGATTGATATCTATAATATGATCCATGGGATCTTCCAAGTAAGCTAGCTATTATATATATATGTATGTATATGTTTTGAGGGTTGATAAGTTGTAATATTTTATATTTACGGAGGTGGAACCAATGGAGGAAGAGTGGGTACTTCTTCTGTAGAAGAGGAAGAAAAATATGAAATTGGTGAGACGAATAGGTTACAGCACAGGATCAGGGTTGGAAAGCTACTGGGATTGACAAGCTATTTATCCTATTTAGAGTTTCCTCATCATGACTGTATTATTGGCCTCAAGAAGTCCTTGGTTATTACATAGGAATGGAGGCAAAGGTACTAAGACCGATTGGATGATGCACGAATTTCGCCTTCCGGCCACTGCACCAAAACACCACGAAAAATCTCTGTTAATGGTCAGATCTATAAGCAGTAATGCTAGCCAGAAGCTGTAAGATTAAATCACTAAGTTTACTTTGTGTGCAATATTATTCTCAATTTTTAATTATATATGTACAAAAAAGTTTCCAGGTGTGAACATCATAAATTTTTTAACTTGTAGGACAAAAGTGAGTATCCAATTGCTGGCTTTAGTTTCAGGGTTT